AATCACAAAACCAGCAGCTGAGACAGGCGGGAATCTCAAAACCAGCAGCTGAGACAGGCTGGCATCTCAAAACCAGCAGCTGAGACAGGCTGGCATCTCAAAACCAGCAGCTGAGACAGGCTGGCATCTCAAAACCAGCAGCTGAGACAGGCTGCCATCTCAAAACCAGCAGCTGAGACAGGCTGCCATCTCAAAACCAGCAGCTGAGACAGGCTGCCATCTCAAAACCAGCAGCTGAGAGAGACTGGCATCTCAAAACCAGCAGCTGAGACGGGTTGCCATCTCAAAACCAGCAGCTGAGACGGGTTGCCATCTCAAAACCAGCAGCCGAGACGGACTGGCATCTCAAAACCAGCAGCCGAGACGGACTGGCATCTCAAAACCAGCAGCCGAGACAGGCTGCCATCTCAAAACCAGCAGCCGAGACAGGCTGCCATCTCAAAACCAGCAGCCGAGACAGGCTGCCATCTCAAAACCAGCAGCCGAGACAGGCTGCCATCTCAAAACCAGCAGCTGAGACAGGTTACCATCTCAAAACCAGCAGCCGAGACAGGCTGTCATCTCAAAACCAGCAGCCGAGACAGGCTGCCATCTCAAAACCAGCAGCCGAGACAGGCTGCCATCTCAAAACCAGCAGCCGAGACAGGCTGCCATCTCAAAACCAGCAGCCGAGACAGGCTGCCATCTCAAAACCAGCAGCCGAGACAGGCTGCCATATCAAAACCAGCAGCCGAGACAGGCTGCCATATCAAAACCAGCAGCCGAGACAGGCTGCCATCTCAAAACCAGCAGCTGAGACAGGCTGCCATCTCAAAACCAGCAGCTGAGACAGGCTGCCATCTAAAAACCAGCAGCTGAGACAGGCTGGCATCTCAAAACCAGCAGCTGAGACAGGCTGACATCTCAAAACCAGCAGCTGAGACAGGCTGCCATCTCAAAACCAGCAGCTGAGACAGGCTGCCATCTAAAAACCAGCAGCTGAGACAGGCTGGCATCTCAAAACCAGCAGCTGAGACAGGCTGACATCTCAAAACCAGCAGCTGAGACAGGCTGGCATCTCAAAAGCAGCAGCTGAGACAGGCTGGCATCTCAAAAGCAGCAGCTGAGACAGGCTGGCATCTCAAAAGCAGCAGCTGAGACAGGCTGGCATCTCAAAACCAGCAGCCGAGACAGGCTGGCAATGGTTGCATTGCATATATATATACTTTGAAGAATCCACACGTTTTGAAGCTGGTATATAGACTTTATAACTAACGACAGATAAAGAAATCTGCATTATAATACTGCATTTCTTTTTTTTCTTGACAGACATGTCAGTGGACCAGAGTAAACTAAGTGGACCAGAGTAAACTAAGTGGACCAGAGTAAACTAAGTGGACCAGAGTAAGAGATGTGGACCAGTGTGAGGTCACTGGACCAGAGTAAAAGATGTGGACCAGAGTGAGCTCACTGGTCCAGACTAAACTCAGTGACCCGAGTAAAATCAATGGTTCTGTGTAAAATCAATGGTCCAGAGTAAGATCAGCAGACCAGAGTAATCTTAGCTGAACAAAACGAGAAAAATACAATATAGTGTATGATGAGTTTGATTGTGGATCAGATGCTGGTTTTAAGTATCTGCTCCACTGTTAATACATTGGTTGGTGATCAAGCTCAATGGTACAGGAGAACTAGGATTTGCGAAGAGACAACAAATATGCTTCATGTATCTTTCCAACGAAGTCATCATCAGTCTGAAAAGAAATAAGGAAAAGTAATTTAGGCTGGAACGATACTGATAACAAATTTGATAGTGAAATAATCATGAAAATTAGGCACAAAAAATGCTTTTCAGATTTACCTCTTCATACACATTGTAGCTGAGAAACAGAAGCCTAAATTTGTGACGTGGTCAAATTTGGAGAGTTATTTAATCTATTATTTGATTGTCAGTTA